GTTGTCACAGCGTTACAAATGTGCCACAAAACCAACCAATCGGAGAACTCGAGAAGGTCAATTCTGATTGGCTGGTCCAGTAGCGAGAAGAGTTGCAACAGCGGAAGTCCAAAATGCTTGATCGTTACGTGGTTCAGAGAGACTCAGAAAGTTCCCGGAGGTTCGTGGCGGGCCATTTGAATCACGATTTGAATGCATTAATAACAGGATAGAAATGCAATTTTTGGTAATTAGTGGTCAATAAAGGTTTTGATTTGCAATATTTATACAACATATCGATATGTGTATGTAGTTACATCAATATGTTTTGTTTTTTTAAAAGTAAAATGTGCTAATATTTGAGGATTAAGATAAAATAAGAAGTACTTTATTGATACCAATTGGGGAAAGGTTTACGCTGCAGCAGCAAAAGACAAGGCATTGTACATTAGACAGTTAAAAGACTAGAAATAAACAATCGAAAATGTAAACATCTTAAATAGAAATAAAATAGCATTACAAAAAGTAGAAAATATACATAGATAGTGTGAACAGCTATCTTACCTGTTAACATATACATGTTAGGCTAACGTTGCCTTGGTTACAGAGCCTGTTGCTGTTGTTTATTGCTTTGAATTCTTTAAAACAAATATTATCTTCTTAAACCATTTGATACGGCCCTCGAGGTAATTTATAAACACAAGCAAAGGATTTAAGAAATCTAGACCGCAAAAGAATTAAACAAGAGAGTGCCTGTTTTTCCTGGCCAAGGTCAGGGTCCTTGAACACAACACGAGCCTAACGTGTCATCACGTGGTATACGTCTCGTCTGACAGGGGTGCAGTCCTGATGGAGAGCACCAGAACGCCGCTCCGGGACTTCCAAAAATGTCAGTACCCATAAGGAGCCGTACACATGCCGCAGTTTCTGCGTGGCTGTGTCTTTAGTTGAAAGCCCAGTGGTGATCTGTTCATCTGTCATACTGATCATACAGTCAATAACTTTGTTGTTATTAGCATCTGGTTAGCTAGCTATGCTAACGAATATAAGAAGCTTTTTCTACAACCAGTGAGGTAAAGGCACATCTTTATATGATCATTATAGTTATAACAAAATAAGAGAATAAAGTAAACAGGTATAAAATACTATATGATTAATAAACAAGAATACAGTTTGAACGGGGAGTGATTTGTAAAATATCCATAAAGAAAAATAAAATATGCTTCCAGTTCTGTTTCATATGGGTGTTGAGAGATGTATCCATAGATCTCCTAATGTTGCTCTCAAAGTGCACCAGATTGATGCTTTTAACTTCAACATTTAAAAAACAATCTTCCCGGGGGAGCATGCCCCCCAGACCCCCCTAGAGGAGGTTAGGTCCCCCCCACTTAAATCATGTCCACATGGATAGGAAACTAAATACATTTGCACACATCTTGTGTCCATATCTTTCTGTTTTGTTTTGTTAGTTTTTTTAAGCAGAGGTCAATAATTTGTACGGCCCTCGGAGGATGTTCTAAAAATTGAAATGGCCCTTGAGAGGAAAAAGGTTCCCCACTCCTGATTTAGAATGTATCCAGACTCAACGTAAGAGCTTGTGCCTCTTCGGGGGGTGCTAACATTTAAACATACACTTTATTCTTTACTTTTTCGTCTTTATATGTAGAAGATATGACTTACCTCCGTCATGTTGTTTCCATAACAACTTCCTGTCAACAGCGTAAACTCGCCTTCAAAATAAAAGCATCTAAATAAAACAGGAAGTTAACCTAAATTACATTTAAGACATACAACTGCAACGAAAGTAACAAAAACAATGTAATATCCTTTCAGTTTCACAGAACACAAATTGGGTTATTTACATAATATGTTTACATGATTTTGTTGTGTAATAAAACAACCAGAGAAGCGATCTGCAAGGAAACATTGCACACCGTGTCCTCATGCTCCTGTTTCACCTGCTTAATACAGGTATCATCACTGCTACTGATTTCGATAGAGCATTTGTGATTAATTGTGATTGAAGCTTTGGGAGTTACACATGCCTCTGCTCTGTAGAGTTGCTCAGGACTGACTGAGGAAGATGCTCTGAGGCTGGCCTTTTATATGTCCACGTTACCATTACAGCTACTCAAATTCGGCTGTCTTCGCCGACACCGTGGTCCCATCTCGATGTCATCGTACTATAATACGATGGCTACACTACGGCATTGCGAGGGCTTCACGTAGTCGTGTTGCCTTCCTAAGACAATCGGGCAGCTTCTTGTTTCCTTCCTATTGTCTTCGTGAGGCGAAAAATGCCCGATGGCACCGATGATCAGACGAAGATGACACGATTTGACAAGATGCCCTCACAAGTGCCTTACGAAGGGCAAAATGACACACGAATTCAACACGAAAATTAACCTTCGCAAGGTCCTTCTGCAATTGTTTGACATGCCAAAGATGTTGCCACCGCTCACAAAGTTGCTGCCGGAGCCTGAGAAACTCCACCGGCGGTCATACGATGGCTTAAGATGCCCTCACGAATCGCCCAATGTTGTTACGATCAGAGCCGAATTTGAACATTTCCTTTATCGTGTGTCCATCTAGTGCAGTGGTTCTCAACTGGTCAGGCCTCGGGACCCACTTTTTACTTGGTCAATACATCGCGACCCAACATTTTGAAGCACTCAAATCTATTCAACAAAAAATCGTGCTGTAATATATACGCTTTTGAGCATACAATATTAATAAAAGTGAAGTAGAGTGTATATATCCCTTATATCCCTTCACAGAACTAAAGTATGCTTTTAAAAAAGGTTTAATGAGATGATGGAATCAAAGCTGAACTATATAAAAAGGCACACATGCTGAAACCCAACCCAGCAGGGGGGTCTGGGGGGATTCTCCCCCAGGAGATTTTTAGAAATACTAACATAAACTACGCATTCTTCAAAATAAAAGTTTGACTTTTTCCCCAAAAAAAAAAAAAAAATTCCAAAAAAAATTTTCAACTTTTTTTTCTTCACTCACACATCCGCGACCCACTCGAAACGGGTCCGCGACCCACTTTTGGGTCGCGACCCACCAGTTGAGAACCACTGATCTAGTGTACATTTCGGGACAGTGTGACAGGGGCTTTAGTGTTTACTTCCTGTCTGTCTTCTTCTGCTGTTCCCTTTAGTGTTTACTTCCTGTCTGTCTTCTTCTGCTGTTCCCTTTAGTGTTTACTTCCTGTCTGACTTAATCTGGGTTGCGGTCGAATAGTCCATTTAGCTTAGGAACCTTCCTAACGGAGTGAAATTACCCGGAAGTCCCTCAGTGGCAGCCATGATAAGTGCCGTTCCAATTCTCTAAATGAAAGGAAAGGAGGTTTCAAACTTCCTTTATAACCTCCTTTAGCTTAGGAACCACTGGACCTCCCTAACCGAAAGGAGAGGAGAAAATGCTGCCCCACAATGCCTTGCAGCTGCAGCATTTGCCGTCACACAACAGTCGGCTGTTCACGGAAACAACCGATTATGAACGAGAAATTATATCATGAAAGTTACGGTGCTTATTAAGCTTTTTAAAACGTATGTGGTAACTTGCCAAAGTGCTTTGTTTTGAACGTTCATCAGTATTATAATCAAAAAGAGAAATATGAACGTTAGTTTTTACTGAAATGATCAAATAAAGTCAACATTTCACAGTCTTTACTGAGCTGTGTGGGGTTTGTTCAACTTTTAAAATATGTTTGAATGGTGATATACACAGTGATAGATGTTAAGGACTAACGTTTATAATAAATACATTTGTATTGATTTTAAGATCTTTTCATACAATCATACGTATTGGGATCATTTGTATTAATGTGGACCGGAGGGAGAGGGTGACGAGCATAAGTTTCACTTTCCTTTTTTATTTCAATTCCAACTTTGGTCATGAAGAATATGTTTCTCTGTTGTCCCCGTTCATAAAGCATAAAACAACAGCATCAGAGCACGGTGCAGAGTCTCTAGATGAGTTTACAGTAGTCCCTTGTTCTTATTAAACATCCATGTTGTAGTCCGCTGTATAGAAAACTGTAGTTTCCATAGTTTCCCCACAGCAGCAGGCGCACATTTATGACCTCCGCTGGCGCATCATAAACACGTTGGATAGTGAAAGTGCAGTCGATTCTCTAAAGTACCGCAGTCTCTTCTCCTAAGTCCTTTTGAATTCTCCTATCCACTATCCCTTAACCCCGTGACGTTTCACTCAGAGGTCAAGGAATAGACGATAGGGTTAGACGATAGGAGCTGATTTTTGGACTATTCGACCGCAACCCTGCTGTTTCCATTTAGTGTTTACTTCCTGTCTGTCTTCTTCTGCTGTTCCTTTAGTGTTCCCTCCTAGCCATCTTGAATCCAAAGTTTAGTGCTCTCCACAAAATTAATATCCAATAAGTACTCCATGGTGTTTTCTGATAGATGAAAACTGATATTTATTGGTCACAGCTAATGTTAAATTGACATGACTTCATTCTGAGGATTGATATGACAGCACATACTGTAGTTCCTCGATCAGAGCAATTGACAAAATGCTAACTCCTGTTTGGCTAGCATGTCCCATTAATAAGGTCTTTCAAAAATCTCATGATTTTCCTTTCCCTTAGTATTGTGGATGTCGTTAATTCAAAGCCAGATATCCTTGAAGTTTCAAACGTTTTCAAAGCAATTTGGCTCTGAATGTAAGTTGTCGATGTTTGTTGAGGGTCCTTGGTACATTTTTCAAGTGACAAAATCCAGCGTAAGTCCAAATGTTGTCTGTAGTGGAGGACAGGAGGCAGGGAAAGCAGGTCAATTACGATATTTTTGTCTTTCGCTAATTTTGACGCAAGATTTGTGATTATAACATTTCTGGAAATGTCAGTGTAAATTAAAGTATTTCAACTTTTGCAAATGATCATCTTCTTTATGTTTCGTATCAATATAACCAACAATTCTGTCATACATTCAACACATAATAATCAAGACTGGAAACAAAGGCTCAAACAGAGATTCAAATACAATGTCTACTTTGTGTTTATTCTGTGCACGTTGCTCTTTATTACGTCTTCCTGTGAAGGGATCACAGTTAAGAAAGAACATAGAAATGTTGGCTTGTTAGTTTCCTAAGAGAAAAAGAGAGTGCCATGATCGATAGGACAGCACAGTGAAACAACTACAACATGTCAGCTGTACAGAATTCTTAAAAAGCATCATGTTTAAAAATTGACAAAATATAAAATACATGTGTCATATTAAATATTTGTCCAAACTGAATAGGCAGTGTGTAGTAAGAAGGAGGGGAACTATATGAATTGTTTTCATATAAACACAGTTATGTTACAGCGTGCTTCCATAAATCAATATGCCAAGATATACACTAACAAGGTAAAAGTAATAGTTTGATAGATTATGATGGGTTACCGGCTACATTGGTTGTAAAAAAATATACAGTCCTGTTACAATGTTTCCAACATTGAGCTTCACATTTCTATTTAACATTTGACACTGATTCTCATAGTGAGTCGAATAGAACAACATATTTAAGGTTCAAAAGAAAAGTCTGTTTCAAGATTTTTAACAACCTCTCAGGAAGAAAAGAAAATATCCTCTCTGCCATCCACATTGATTTTTGTATGCAGATGATACATTATTTTACATCTCACATGCTTATCTCTTATCGCAATATCTCTGACTCTATTGAAAGACAATTACGTATGTTATATGTGTGAATTTTAACTTTTTTGTTCATGTACAAAGGTATCTGTTGAAAGACAGATCTTGCAGCTCTCTAAAAGACTGACTAAACCCTCTCTCACTGGAAAATCATGTTTTTAACATTGACACTTACATTTTGTTACCTAGTTTTAACCTTGAATCTTTTCAATTTTCCCCCAAATCTTTTTTGACTATCCTCAATGGCTATTCTGATGACTGTATGAACTTCCTGAGTTAAATGTACTTTGATATCATACAGCACTGTGAGTTAGTGGACAGCAGATTTAACTTGAGTGAGTCAAATCCACTATGGTCATTTTTAGAGCAACATATGCAACAAAATAAAAAAGCCCTCTCTAACCATAGTGGCTGATGTATATCATGGGTTATTGAAGATTTATTTATTTTATTTATTTATTCATTCATTTATTTAACAGGGACAGTGCACATTAATGAACATTTCTGTAAATGTGCCAGAGTTAGCCAAGAGGCTATTTTTCATCTGTAGTCCCTGGACAGATTTGAAAAGTCAACCAAGATGATGTTGAAAACTATGTTTTAGTCATCATTTTAAGCTGTTGAACATTCCTAACACAGACCAGGATCGGGTTCCACAAACTCCTAAAATATGGAAATGAGTCTAATGTTTTCATAACTGAAAATCATTTAAATAAACTGCAACTTGACTGGAATTATCCTTTCAAACTTGCTGTCTGTAACTGGTGTAATTAATGAGTGCAATTAAGCACATCAACCCTCCATAATGCATTGATGTGATAGATGCAATAATTGGAGTATTGCCTTAATGAGGTTTTAATTAAATAATAGGCGTTAAAGAGATGATTGAAAAGAGCGAGACGATCAAATCAAATTTTCAATGAGGGAAATATCATCCAGAGTGCTCGTCTCTTCACTTTTCAACGGCTTTTAACCAATCAAGCGGACGGTAAACTGTAATTACCCTCTGCCATGTTTGCATCCATTTGACTTCCCTCTCTGGATGACTACACACTGCCCATTTGGTAGAAAAGTAGAAATGTGAAACATATGCAGAAATATGCTGATGTCATGCTCAGTAGAAATGACTAATAATTAATGTGGTGACTGAAATGCTATAAATACAAAACCATGACGTTACATACAACTGCATTGAGTAGATCTAAAACACAAAAAGAGAAGAGAGGCGGGAATAAATAAAGTAAAGGTAATTTCAGTACTCTGTCTCCTCGGTCCTGATATAGACCCGCTCTAGTGACACAAGCACTATGACCACAACAAGAACAACTAAAACAATAAAAACGTGAAAAGACCACCCAACAAATCATCGACTTTAAATAAAGTGAAAGGAGGAATTGCCCCCGTGGTTTGATAAATTAATCCTTTTTTTTATTTTTACAGAAATTGAAAAAATATTTGTTCACATTGAGAGGGAAAATAAGATATTTACTGCACAGGAAATGACACCAAACTCAGGCCAACATTTACGAGGAACCCTTGAGTCCCAACGAGTACATTCCGAGAAAAATCACCCACAATCCCTTTGTCGATGCTGTTGGGGACACTATGTTAAAAAACACTTGACCTCGAAGTTATTGATAACCAATTCTGATGGTAAGAAAAGCTGTAGAAAAATAAAGTACCAGTAATCTCAAGATTAAAAGACCAAATGCCCTTGAAAACTTTCCTCCAGACAAATTGGAGAGGATAGAATCCACGAATGTTGTACTTAATTTAATTTTTTCTCTTTTAAAAAAGTTATTTTCTTTTTCATAAGTCCAGAGGTTGATTTTTAGTGGAACAAGATAGGATTGTGGGGAATACTGGGAGGTTCTTGGGGATATTCTGGCGACTCGGTATCCTTCAAGCCATACTCATGGAGGTTAAAGTTCATAGTTCAAATAGGAAACTGGTTCCCTCTGATGGGGTCTTGGGGTTCAGGTGGAAAGGCAGTGCAGTTGGGTGTGACGGCCAGTGGTGCAGCACTAAAATGGTGTGATGGAGACACAAGTAAGGGGGGGAGAAGGGGCAGCTGAGAGAACTGAGGTGTGGTTCAAGGAATGGCAGATGAAGAGAAATAGACATGGAGATAGGAAAGAAGAGAAAGACATTATCAGTGGGTTTCTCAGATCTCACCAGCAAAACAACATGTGCAGAAAGAAAGAAACAGCAACACACCCAAGGTGGGCAAGTCAGGTCAAAATAAAATGTTAAATATCAAGAAGAAATCGAGCAAGGTTTGTTGTTGAAATGGTACGATACGATTCGATGTTCTGATAAAATTATACTATAATAATATGCCAGATCAAGTCTGAAATTGTACAACTACAAAGGATGATAATGATGGTTGCAGTGAAGTCTGAAATATAATCAGGTACTTTTGTGACCCTCAAATACTAGCTGGGGTTTTGTAAAGTGCAAACAAATAAAAGCCATGAAAAAAAAAACGTGTACACTCTGCTATAATTGTTTATACGGTACTTTAAAGAGGCCCTATTCTGCTTTTTGTGGATCTCCCTTCCCTATAGTGTGTTCTATAGGTTTGTGTGTATGTCAATGGTCTGCAAAGGCTAAAATCCCTGTGTTCCCTCCAGAGGGAGTTTCTCTTCCATCGCCTAGCGCTCTAACACATTGTACGTGATAGACTAAGGGTAGGGACATCTCTAAGCGGTTGACCAATCACAACGGAGCAAGCCAGCTAACCAATCAAAGAAACTCCCACTTGAAGGGATTTTAGCCTTTGCAGACCATGTACATGCACCCAAACCTATTCAAAACACTACAGGAAAGGAAAAAACCCCAAAGACAGTTTTCCTACTTCTACTTTGGCAGATTTGCTCATCACCATGCCTTCCTGGCCTGTCAGACAGCAGACAGCACTGAGGGCTCTTGAACACGGCCCAAGCCTGGAATGGGGGGGTTGTGCTTACATGCCAGCCTGTCAACAGACTAAACGGCACCCGACCCCAGCCTGGACCCATTAAATCACATAAACAAGGTCACATTAAAGCCACATGGGCACCATTAATGTGAAACGTCATGCAGCCAGGGCACCTCGTTTCATCTTAAAACAACAAACTGTTACCACACAGATCTATTTAAAGAGTGGGGGTTCCTAAATGAGCGCTGCTGTTTTCAATGAATTTGCAAGTGTGTGTCTTCAGAGTGTGAAGCACAAAGACAGCAGCTCCTCACACACTCCCTGACGGGGCTGGCACTGAACTTCCACAACTCTGCCTTCAAGCTGCAGCTGGATCTCTATCAGTTCATTAAGATTTAAACATGAATGATACCGAGCAATCTGAATTTGATAGGTTGAACTATGAGAAAAACTTGAAATATAACCGTACAATTATGACACAATAATCTTTAGCACTAAGCATCAGGACCAGCAGCTCATGGCAGAGTAGGCGATAGATGAAAATATGAAATGACATCTTATTAAGCTGATTCTGCTGGTATTACAGCCAAATGCCAATCAAAAGTTTGAAATAAACTTCGTGGATCATGGAGGCTGAATCCTGTTTGCACTGTTATTGGCTAAGGGCAGATATGATTGGGCTCTCACAGGTTGTTGGACCTTTGTCATTGGGAGGGACTCACATTTTATAATGGCTGGAACATTTTCACAAATCAAAGTCCCCTTTCTGAAATTTGTAAAACGCTCAGGTAATCAGTTTGGGGCCGCATGAATTTAATCAGAATGGCGAACAATGTCATGCAGCGGTTGTCCCGTGCATACCGGTATTTTATTAGAAAATGTCATTTAGAAAAATCTTTTTTTGCACTGCTTGATCTATCTCTCATCTTTTCTAGACAAAAACACAACTCTTTAACATCCTAAAATCTACCCAATTACATTTAATATTATTGAACATTTGTAAAGCCTGTTTAGTAGTAACGTTTTTATTATGGGCCCAATTGGAACATTTATCTTACTACTCCAATCAGTACGGTACTTGGTATGGTGTTACAAGCCATTTGTTTGTGCCTTCTATATCAGATCAACTCTAGTAAAACCCAGATCAAAAAGAGACACCTCCATAAACTATATTTCTACGCCTCCTTTTAAAGACAAATGGAAATCAGGACAAGATCATTTGTACTATTTTTGTACCAATTTTTTGTATAATACTGTCCACATTATATACTATTTTCATTTAGTAAGGAAATATGATGTACGGATTATTTGCATTAGCAGAAAAGGATTTATAAGTGTCACCACTTCCATTCAAACCACAGAATGGATGGTAAAGGGTGGGTGTACTGCAGGTGGGTGTGTGGTTTGAACTCACCTTCCAAAGGATGAGTTTGTCTTACTCCGGGCTGATCTCTGTCTCCTGGTGAACTACCACTTTGGTAACAGACATGTCTGGGTGCTGCTCTTTAGCCTCCTTTATGGCCTGAGCCAGAGCCTGAGTGGTGATAAAGGACAGAACACAAAGTAGAAGATAAAAACACCATTAATGATTTACATTTCGACAATCTGATTAACTTGGACACAATTGCTTTATGAGGGAATTAAAGCCTTAATATAAATCCAGCTTCATATTTCAGCCATTGCAACACATAATGAAATGAGCTGCTTTTGCAAGAGCTTTGAGGAAAACGGCATTATTACAACATAATTCATTGTGAACAGTGAGCGTAAACCAATAATCATCTTCTCTCATCAGTTCCTCACCTTGTCATGATCAATTTCAGTGTCTCCAGTGATGACTATTCTCTTCTCAATGCGAGTCTCAGAGATCCCTCCTTTCACCGTCTACAGACACATGACACAGGCGCAAATATAAGCGAGGAAAAACATACGAAAACAAAATTCCATTATTATTACCCCTCCAAAATCTGGATGACAACACAATCTGCAGTGATAAGAAGGTCAGACACACATTGATGTCAGTAAGGGAGGTGTCCTTCTTTGATGGAGGTTAGAAATAAAGTGGATCCAGGGAGGAGGATGCAAAGAAACACAGATTTACAGTATGCAAGACATGCACACATTAAAAGTTTAAGCATGTATTATTTCTGAGTGTGAGAGTGCACATTTTTAGGTAAATCAGAATCAGAAATACTTTGATTATGCTCGGGCAAATTAGTTTTCGTGAAAGTTGTTCAAGATCATTAGAATAAAATATTACAGTGGACCTATCATGCTATTTTTAGGCAATAGCATAGGTCTCAGATATAGTGAGTGCTGATTTGGGGTATAAAGCTTTAAATGAGCTGAGCTCATGCGGGAGATTCTACCGGCAGCTACTGCGGTGATGAAACGCCATATCATGGATTATCAAGGATTGTTTCTGAAACAGTATGGAGCTCAAAGGCTTTCTCTCTTGCCGGTTATACCACAAGGTGAGTTCCTTTTTATTTCTTGCTTCTTCACACACATGCTCTGTGCAGTACAGGTTAGCTCTGAGTGTTAGCCATGCTAATGTAAACATGCACCGATCATATTACGTCCAAAACAGTCGGGCATTGTTTCTGATAGCAACTTTCTGATAGGGCCGTGGGTGTAAAGCCAGCCTACATTTCTGATATTACATCATATCGGACGCAAATCTGGATCAGCTCCGTTGTAGCCCCGTTTTTAGAGATTTGGGTACAGAGGAAAAGAGAGGGTTTTATTTTCTGATGCTGCGTGAGTTCCCTGACACACCGGGGACACATGTTTATGTATAAAAGACATCAAAAAGTGCATTTTGCATGATAGGTCCCCTTTAAATCGAACATTAGAAGTAAGAATGTGCAATAAAAAGATAAAATATAATACATTAAAGTAAAATGTCCACTACAATAAAATAATGGAGTGTAGTTTACTTTGATTCACGAAAATGAAACCATATATGTTTAGATTGGAAACCAATTCAGTGTGCCACAAGGTATATTCTCCTGGTAAAATAAAGGCTCTACATAGAAAGGAAGTGCAATATGCAGCCACAACAGGAAGAAAGGTAGTGCTTTTGTTGTCCTCTGTAGTTATTGTGGGCTATCCCCAGTTAACAACGAGTATCAATTTAAGTTCTTAGTAAATATTATTTCGGGGAAAATGGTTTACTGTGCAGTGTTGCCCACTCTTTTCCAAAATAAAAGTAGCTAAATTAAGCTCCAATAGATGCTACACGTCTTTAAATGATGTCATATGCTTATTTGCCTATTGGTGAAATATAGCATAAGTGAATGGGTTGATTTTGCTGCAGCAAGGGAGAGCCTGCCAAGTAAAAGCAAGAGCGCATTCTGTTGGCAGAAAAGTGGACTGACTAACAAACCCTAACCCTAAGCAGGTTCTGAATCAGTCATCTTTGTTGTCTTTTGAAACATGAACAGTAATAGCACTTTGAAGAGCTAGAGAGGGAATAGTTGCCTTGAATATTCTCCAAAGTCGTCATTTTAGATATTAATCAACACATTTTTAATTACGTCATTTATATAATGCATATTGAAACATTTCTATGTTCATGTAGTATCGACCGGTGGTAAAGGGGATCCGAGCAAACCTCTTTATGGTAATGATATATTTTAGACCGGACACACTATGGGCATCAATAATGACGACTACATTTAATTCACTAACTCTTGCTTTGGTGGATGTAAACAAGAGGTACAATGTTGCCATGGGTTGAGTGTTACAGTGTTGGCAACAACTTGAGCCTACATTTGTTTACATTTTGGCAACATTGGTACCATTGAAATGACTCTGAATTAGCAGTTCATCTTTGCATTGCACCTATGGATAAACATACTGGATTACTTCCATTTCAAGTGTTATGACTGTCAAGTCATTTCTGACATTTTCTTTACTATGATTATTAAGAAGCTGTATTGCCATACTACTTTGTGTTCATATTTGTGTGAGTTCTGACTCAGAGGATGGAGTGAGCTTGGATGCTTGAGGTGTAAATGAACCTGAATGGCCTCAATGAGCTTCTACTGCTGCTGCACCAGTTAACTGTGTTGCCTTCTAATCTAGCAACGTTGTGTTTATATCACATGACTGGGTTTGTCTGTCCAGAAATAAAGCCAAATGTGTATCTTCTACTGTACATTTCCAAATGATCCTAATTAATAAAATTCATACTGTAACAATAAGTTATTTTGTTGATAATTAACAGCCATTCAATAACTGTAGTTCTGGTTCAAATGTAATACTTTAAAAATAAAATAAATATAGCTAAAATAAAATGTTGTTTCTCTCTTCACTGTAGAAAACAGTAAAACCAAAGGGACGCTGGTTCAAGGACCAAAATAGTGAGGACTGGAAGCTGGACAGTTGCCAGTTCGCCAGTTTGCTGTGGATTCCTTGAGCAAGGCACTAAAACCCCCACTTGCTCCCTGGCACTGGAACACTGGCAGCCTTTTCGCTCTTAAACTTCTCTTTTAGTGCATGTCTATAGGTTCTGTATATGTATGTGTGTCATTGTAAAATAACACCTGAGTGAACTGAAACTGAATTTCCCCTCTGGGATTGATGAAGTGATCTTTATCTTAATCATGTTCATGTTTCTGATGATGATGAAAAGACGTGGCGGGACAAATACAGTCACTCCCCAACAGCTGCTTAACCCTCCTGTCGTGTTCAGGTCAAACAAATGTACTTCTTTGATCCATCATAAATACTGTGTTTTACATTTGATTGCCTCAAGGCCTTATGATATCCTCCACAGTAAGCATTTGAATCACCAATTTCATTGAATATTGAGTGGTTTAGTCAACGTAAATTATGTTTATCCATCAGATAGTAAACACGCACAAATCATTAACCATGCTAATTTTGGAATACATTTTCAGCGTATTCTTTGTATATTCACTGCAATTATTCATGTAAACCAGCAGTCTGATACATTCTGTAAAGCTTAAAGGGGTTTTAAATAACATTTGGTGATGACTGATGGTTTTTGTGTTATCTAAGAGCAGTTAAAACAGACCGCTCAAATTTGACTGGAGAAACCAAAATAAGGGGGGAGAAACGAACCCGACAGGAGCAGTTAGAGAGTCTGTTGTGAAGGGTCACTACCACTGGCAAAAGTGATGAAGACGGGATGAGTAGGGTAGTGTATGACAGCAGGGTGTAAATGGCCGTATGAGCAGACCTTGGTGATCTGGGTGGTGGTGGTGGTGCTGACGGTCTCTGAGGTGATGGTCTGGGCACTCAGCAGCACTCCTGAGTCCCTCTCTGCCGGGCAGTCCACTGGCTGTGGGAGAGACACCTTCGAAGTGTTACACAAGACCTCAAATGAGTTAATTTCAACATACTCAAATATCAATGAGTGTTATCTGTAATATTGTTAAAGATATTTTAATCCTAGTATGATGTTGAGCTGGTTACTGAAATTAGACTGTTTCGTTATGAATCAAAATCAAGCAGACATTAAAGGTGGGGTCGGTAATTTTGGAGAAACCAGCTCGAGTGCGCTAGAATTTGAAAATACACAACCGGAAAAAATCAGCTCCTCCTCCATCACACACAAACGCGCACATGACCAATGAGGGCACGAGATAAGTTTGTGCACAGATGGAAGGCTGACAGGCAGGTAGGCCATCCAGTTATTTTAGCCGGGCCAGCTAAAATGATTGGTCGTGCTTTTTACAGTATTACGGCTTCCACAGATGACATTTTTGTATGGATTTTTTGTCAAAGCACTTAAGATATTCATTGCTATCGGGATGTTAAGAGCATTCCATGGAATATAACAAAAAGTGTATCTCGAGCCGGTTTCTCAAACTAACCTACCCTACCTTTAAATGGGTTTATCTATCAATATTTACTAAGGCATTTTGTATTTCAATTATATTGTTTCTAATTCATGTAGGTTATGTACAATAGCTTTTGTTTAAAATACTTAAATGTTTAAGATGTTTTGTTTTATGTCACAAATTAAAAACATTATTTAAAGGTATATCAGTATCACCAAATAAGCAAAAAAGCTTGTCAGACACAGGAGGGGCAGGGGATCGAACCACCAAACCCTGAGGTCAGTGGATGACTCCCCAATAGAGTGGTGCAGAAATGAGTCCTAAAACCCCGTAAATGACTTGGGACCTTATTTCAGTCATCTAACTACAAACACGTTAAAAAAATGTTCGAGACTAGGGTAAAATAAACAAGTTTTGAGTTGTTTACTCTCATTGCTTTTTTTCAAGAGAGAATATGCGACGCTGACTTCAGGGTTGGCCTACAAAGATATGTATTAACTGCATCACTCTATACCTCCTGAGCCACAGCCGCCCAATGTGTGAAGACTAGGGCCATTGTGAGTATATCTTTGGACATGATGGATGAGCATTTCTTAATACCTAAAAGGAGCCATGGATTTAAAAAGGTGTTATGTCCTAGCCTTATAAAAGGCTTAGCCTGCTTTCAACAAATTGATTAGAAGAGGTCTTCTACAGTTACCATAAGTTAACATGTGTACAGGCAAATATCCAAAAATAACTTCATTGCACACAAGACAAGACTTTATATTGCATTTCATAACGACGAGTCAAAATGCTACAATTTTGTTAGCCATTCCCAGAATCCCTCTCACCTGTGCTGACTCGTATGTGATGGTCTTGGTCTCAGTGTGAACTAAGGGCATGTCCGTGTAGGTCACAGTTCCTCTCAGGGAGTTGGTGACGTCTGAGATGGTGATTGTCTGGGTCTTTAGCACAGGAGACTGAAGGGATCAGATAAACAGTCAGAAACTAACTCTGTGGGCTCCAGCAACAAAAACAACTACTGTGTGTTTGAATTAAGGAAGGCATAACCTAGTACAAGACGGGAAACAAGATAATTATCGTGAGGCTGCTATCGTTAGTTTAGTTCTTATGTGGACTTTTAAGTTGTTAGATAGGAGGTCAGAGGGTTATAACTTTACAAGTGACATATGCTATATCCTGAAGGAAATTCCAGCATCGTCAACAATTGACGACTACAATACAAAGTAACACAAAATATCTAGACGGGCTTATCAAAAATATACAGAGAAGGTATACAGACATCAATTTGAATAATAACAAACCAACCAAAGCTGACGGACAATCCGCCAAGTTTATGCGTTTTATTGACACAATTGTCAGGACTAAGGTCTGACAGACAGTGTGTGAGTGTGTGCGTGTGTGTGTGTGTGTGTGTCTCTTTTTGAAATTCTCGTGAGCTCATCTGAACCTGTCTGACACATTTTTCATTTAATTAACACCCTGAAGTGTGATATCCTTCGTGATAATCATGCTGCTTTTTCAATAGCAAGCTTCAGTTCATATTGCACTACTTTGAACAATAGGCGCTTTCACACCGGAGTACTTTTCCCCGTACTTTTCCCTTTTAGTTCCGATAGTTCGTGGGATTTTAAGTTCACACCAAAAAGAGAACTTAGTTCATGAGAACTTTTCCCCCCTTTTCAGTCCCTGCTAGAGACCAGGTACTTTCCTGGGGAGAAAAAAGTTCAAATTTCTGATTGGCTGGGCGAATTGCAAACCACGCCCGGTAAAACTCTGAAAAGTTTTGTTATTCCGGTGTGAACGCGATCTGCTCTTTAGTTCCATGGGGGAACTAAGTGCTGGGAACTAAGTACGGCAAAGTACTTGGTGTGAAAGCGGCTATTGTTTCCCTCAGGATTATGTGATGGGTGAACTGCAAAGCCCCTGAGGCGTCTCGGGGCATGTTCATCTGGTGGAAAAGTGTGTACAAAGTTTGCACATTAAAATAAAGTGAATCATCTGGTGCTCTTTAACCTGTTAACCCCTGAGCCTGTTTTTCAGGTCTCAGGCTCGAAAATGGCATTCCCAAAACAAATGAATATCTTCCCTTCTAAAAGGGGTAAATTAATAATCTTTGATAAACCTGTGAGTTGGATGTAGAAAAGTCAGAATCAATATAGAATTTTTTTATTTTAAAGTAAATTCAGATTGAACATAGTAAAAGAATTTAAATTATCGTGTCCGTCCAAAAAAAACATTACTTATAGTGAAAACCACCCTTGAATGATGGGATAGTAGACTAAAAGCTTTAGGAATTCAAACTATAACATATAATAAGTACCCTGTATCAAGATTGATCAAAACAAGTGACATTTGACCTTTTTAGAGAAATTTACAAAAAAGAAACCACTTCTGGGGTCATTTGGGTGGATTTTCCATATCTCTAGCCCCCCTCGGTCGATTTTGATGATTGACACCTATTTTTAACCGTGAGAGCCAATAGAATCGAGAGGGAAGTTCCTAAAATCCATCTAAACATTACCCATTGGTGAATGAGTGATGCGTAGCCAGAATGCCCAAAACCGGAAGCTGGGTTGTAGCTCTAATAGTGCTAATAACAGCTAATATGAAATCTCCGTTTTTGACAAAAATTGAATGATGGATTATCAGTAATCATTTCAAAGTGACACAGACACATTGGATTAACCTTCAGCAGCGTTTTTATCGTTTTAATGCCATTGAACACAACTGTTGATCAGAAAAACAGCAACGGTAAGATTTATTTTCCGTTTTTGCTCCGTAAAGCTACGTTGTGTGATGTCTGGGTTTGCTTCCCCTGCCGCGAGTTTTGATCGCTCAGTGATGATACTAATACCCCTAGATTATGTGGAATCTCAGTTTGCTAGCTGATTTCTACCGTGAGTTCTGTGCTAAGTGTGTTAGCATTTTTTCACTCAGGGCTCATTTAGACGCTTCTTGTGAGATTTGTGTTTTGTTTCGGTAAACATGGTTCATATCATCAGTTAGCTGAGTTTCTTCCCGTTAAGTGGGTATGACACATGAATAGGTTATTAAATGTTAAGAAGCCCTGAGACACAGTTTCGTGAAAAAAAAGGTTACAGGTTAAGAGCAAGATTAAGGGGCTTAATCTATAAAGAACCTAGGTGGAGTTCTTATGGTGCGTTCCAGTAGTACTGTGAAGTGGGAGGTTCTGAGTTCCCGGTCAGAAATTTCCACTGGAATGCCCCCTGAGGTCGGAATTCCTACTTGGAAACTCAGAGATACCTTGCCATACCCGGGATGATCATTCAAAATTGGAGTCTCCGCATATGAACATTAACACTTTGATAATATAACATTTTGATCTCTTCTGTATTATTTGTTTCACATTAAATCAACTTTACATATGAGATTGCTCATCTTCCATATGTTGTTTGTATTCACAAAATACAAAATAAAGCCTAGTTATCAACCGGTATTGCTAACAATAGGTAGGCCTGTCGCGATAAGCAATTAATTGACTTATCATACGATAAATAAAAATGAACTCGATAACTTTTCTGACCTCGATAAATTGCCTTTTACGTGCGTGTTTGTTTACATAAGGATGTGACCAGCATTTTAGCCAGGCGCACTGTGGCTGCCGGCCACTCTACCGGACCGGCGCGCTGTGAGGGGCGGGGCTCACACACAGCCAGGTCAGGACACTAATTAACTAAATTAATAATGTAGAGACAAGCAGGAGACAACGTGTGAAAATGGCAATTTGAAGTTAAATGTAATTGGTTAGGAATTCCACATCTCCGGTGTGGGAATATTTTGGATTTACAGATGTAGCACCTAATTTCGGACAGTTTGAAACGCGAGGGCCGTGGCCGGCACGGGGTCTGCCCTCGCTCAAAGGAAAACCTCCAGCGTGACTTGAGACCGCCCCCTTGATAAATAAATGTAATTATAATGAAGCCAGCTGCAATGGATCATTGATCCACCAGGGGGTGCAGTGGGGTTCCACACTGGAGCTCATGTGAAATAAAGTCTGATACAGTACGGTCGATGTCTGGTACTACTGTATAGCGGATCATTGTTAAGATCCATATGTCACGGATAGGATCATACTCTGTGCTAAATAAGAGACATGTAATCATTTACAAAACATCACCATGTTTTTATTTAACAAAATAATGTTGTTTAGTCCACAACTACTGTACAAAAAACATCAGGAAGCCCACCGGCTCCAAAAACGAACGGGAGGAAATGCAGCCCGGCTCTCGATTTTTAATCCTAATTTAATCATCAACTTCACCACGATCATTTATGTTTATGTTTGCCGAATTTACATGAAAGCACTGACAAATATGAATATACTGTATTCAACTTCATTAAAACGTTATTAACGTGCCTAAACTCAGTAATTCACTAAAATATTTATATTTTAATGGAGCCTCGTCAGGCAGATCAGGATCTCGACGCGTAGCGGAGGGATCCTGATCTGCCTGAAGGGTGTTATTTTCCCCATAATGACCAAGTCGCTGCACATTATTCCGCTTATTACATGGCCACATTCTCAACAAAGTAACGACATGACACCCAATATGAATTGAAATGCTTTTATGGATTTAGAAAATGTTTTTATTGATTTAAAAAATAGTTGTATGTATTGATTGAAATTGACATGCATCCGCTAAGAAAAATAGTCCGTTGTTACCGTTTTTTAAACAGTCTGAATGAAACGGCAACTCTCAGCTGATGGGCCACACCTAATGGCCCATCAGCCACAGCCACTATCCATATTCATAATAATATTGATATTCTGTCCGTCCTGGGAGAGGGATCCCTCCTCTGTTGCTCTCCCTGAGGTTTCTCCCATTTTTCCCTTTAAACTGTGGGTTTTTCTCCGGAACTTTTTCCTTGTACGATGTGAGGGTCTAAGGACAGAGGGTGTCGTTTTCTCATACTGATATTCTGCACAAACTGTGCTGTTGTATTTGCTGTAAAGTGTCTTTACTGTAGAGTATTTTTATTATATGTACAGCACTTTGGCTCGACCAAAAATCGTTTAGAAATGTGCTATATAAATAAAGTCATTGCAAGTGACACTCAACATAAAAGTCACAAAGTCAACATAAAAGTTGACTTTTATGTTTTTATGTTCAGTGAAGTGTTTTATTATTTTCGGGACGGGGAGACGTGTGTGATTAAAAATGAGTGACCAAGTCTATTCAAATTCAAATTATTGACGTGTACATGTAAATGGGTTGCATAGGCTATATGCATTTGAAAATAAATAGTACCCCCCTCCGAGTGACTATCTGTTCACTTCACATCTTGTCACAAACCAGGGGACTTTACTTCCTCTTAGGCTGGTGCCCCACGGGAACGCATACGGCAAAACGCATAGGATTAATGCAAACGCAATCGCCAAAAAGCTTCCGTCCACACGCAATATACACCGGATAGTATCTGTTCACAAGAGACAGCTCCGTTTAGATCCAACCGCTGGAAAAGCTGCAGTACATATGCCGAGCCTGTACGTGGCGCTGTAACTTCCTCCACAAAAGCAGCAACTTCCTCCACAAAAGCAGCGAAGAAGAATGGTTGTCATGGCTGCACTTCTGTTTATTCACCGCGGTGGGGGCCGAGGGAACCGGGCAGAGTTTTTCGCCGGTCAACGTGTGTAAAAGCTTAAATCTTCCGGACAAAATTATAAAAGTGCCGATCAAAGGTCTTCTTTGTTATTTATTAAGCTTTAAAACAAATGAATAACAACTATATATAATAATAAAACACACAGAGCCTGTCCTCTCTTTTTACTCTCTTCTGACAGCGTCAGTGTCTGTCTCATGCAGCAGCTGATCCAGTAATGAGTGACCCGACAGTAAAAATAAACATATTTATAACTAGTTTAGGTAGTTTGAGAGGTAATTAAAATAGCTAAGGGTGATGATCTGACTTGAAGTGTGTGTTTTGCTCCCGCTGC